CCACACGACGGCCCCGGGCAAGACGTGGGAAAGCGGGCCTGTGGTTTTCGTGGGACAATGTGAGGTCTAGCGACTTGGCACGTTCGGTTGCAGAGGATGCCAATGCATTCCTTTTTTCTTTTTTGGACGTAGGCACCAATGACAAGCCGGGCAGCGCTCACTACATCCTGCGGTGGACGTCTCCCCAGGCGGTGAAGGAGACCCACGAGCCCCTGGGGGACTGGAAGTACCCTTACATGCAGTGACGTGGCTTATGGGTCCTTGGAAGTCTTGGGCGGCGACCGTTGGTGCGATGGGCCGTGTTTCTCTCCAGCAGCCTTCCTCGCCCGCCTCTCCTAAGGCGCAAATTGCAAGGAGTGAATCGATTTCCTTCTCTCTCACTTGGACACCTTTGGAGAATTAACAAAATAATAATCCTACTGAAAAAAAAAATATCAAAATTTATTCCTCTGCTTCAGCACTGCCACATTTGTCGATTTCTCCAGCGAGGCTTTGCCTGCTGAACCCTCTTAAAATGTGCATTCTTCAACTTTTTGTATCTTGTTTCTGATAAAAAAAAATTTTTTTTGGCTGCCTCCCCTGGAGGGGAGAAGTAACTCGTGCCAAAGGCAGCCTGGTGAATCTCTTTCGTTCGAGAAACGGAGCCAGGGAGGAAGCAGATCCGGAGAAATTGCGAGCATCGATCAACACCGAAGAAGAGCCAAGCGCCCAGAAACTTCCTTCTCCTGCCTCCTAAGGAAGGTGGACTGGCATTTTTGCTGAAAAGTTTTTGCTTGCGTGCGTGGACAGTTCACCCTCCAGATGGGATGCTGTTCTTTTTAAAAGATCTATTTTTGTAAAAAAAAATGTGAACGCTCAAATCAGGGACAAGCAGTGCTTTAAAAAAAGTGGGGGGGACTTTTGCTAGCTTGCCAACTAAACTAATTCTCTGCAAAAAGCTCTAAAATCCAGGGATGGAAGAATAAAAATCGAACGTATGAAACCGACGGATTGAGGAAAGGCTGACGAACAGATAATTTGCAGTACCTTAAAGGGCATAAAAGCTTTATTAAAAAAAAAGATCTCCACGACGGTGTGTGTGCGCATCATGGCTACACAATTTGCTTTAACTCTGTATTGCTGACTAACATTTTTAGCCCTTGTAGTTTTGGAAAATGGATTTATATAACGAATCGCGTAAGCAGATGTAAACCAACTTGGTTCTACTCAATTAGTTCTGAAACTCCGATCTTACTCATCGCTTTTGTTCCTAGATAATTGTTTTGTTTCCTGGTCCAGGCTCACGTTGTCATGATTTCCTGCCAAGCTGAATTTCCATTTCCATTTATTTTTTTTTGTTTATGCACATAGCATTTTCCATCACTTAAAGCTTCTGTACGGACTGAAATGCTCCAAAATCTGCTCTTAATTTTTCTTGCGCAAAAAGGCTGCTTTCCTTGCTCGCTTTGCCTTTATTTAAGTCTGATTAACTCTCCGAAAACGGCAGCAGTTGATGATTGTTAACCACAAAAAGGTCTCAACACTGGATGTGCTTCCGAAACAGAAAGAAAAATACCCAACTAGGGTAGCTAAATAAATATCTCCCAATTTCATGATGGATCATCTTTTCCAGAGAAGGGAAAAAAACCCTCCAATATGGGAAGCTACCAAGTCTGAGGTCATTTCTTGAAGCTCTTTTGTTCCTTTAAAAAAAAAAAAATCCGTAATTCTTATTGTGTTGTAAGATAAAATAACGTACAAAATACGAAAGTAAGAAGGAAAGCAGTAGGGAGGAAGAGGGGGAAGAGAAGTGAGGAAGGATTAGAAAGAAAAGCTAATGACTTCTGACTCTGTTGCAGTAAAATAAGGCATTTAACAACAAATCACAACTTTTCGCGTTTTTTTTTTCATAATCCTATGAACTAGCCATTTCTATAAGGATCTATAAAACCCCAAATCAAAATTTAATTCTTTTCCACCCCAAGCACAAAGCTCCGAAATGGTCTCCGTGTGGGAACAGGAGCACTTATACCCTTTCCTTTAATCAAAATACGTCCATTTTGCCATTTCAGCCAACTCTCTTTCAACTTCGGCAACCATCCGTCCATGGTAGGAATCGAAGTGCTCTTCCATTTGGTGGGGGCATACAGTAGTCTTGCTGTGTAGTGTCAAAAGTTACAAATTTTGGAGCATGATTCACATTTTAATACAGAAATATTTTGAAAATGAAGGAGCTTTTTTTTCATTCCTTGAACGAATCAGCCTTGCAATTCCTGGCTTGGCGGTGCACGGAGAAACAACACCTGTATGGCCATCAGAGTTTAAACAGCTAAGTGCAACCGGTTCGATCAAGCATTGATAATGTGTCAGGTGAAAAGACTTATTAATAAACTTCTCTGCAAAAAAAGGAACAGTCTGGAGTGCAGTTTTTTTCCAGTTAAAAGAGGTGGCTGAATTTTCTCTGAAAGCATAACGTGGACAGAAATGAAATGTTATTTACTGGAAACGGATCAGAACCATCCTGGGTCTTTTAAGCAACCAGGTGGTCGGTGCCTTCAGCTCGTAGCATCTCAGACTGGTGTGAACGTCTTAATTTGGGACTGAAAAAATAAAATCTCCGATATTCAGGAGTCAAGACAGCAAAGTACCCATCACTGCAGCCTGGAAGCAGTCTGCCAAAGACAAGCTAAATGGGGCTTTTTGGGGGGTGGGTGGGTTGTCAATGTTCCCTCTTCACACCAATCCCAACCTGGTGTATCTTGATGCAGCTCAGGGCAGGAAGTACCCGGCTGGATGCTAAGAGGCGGCTAAAGATGTAAACTTGAGGCTAAACCGTCATTTGGGGGAAAAAAAAAAATACCAGTGCTTTACATCGAGAAACGAATCAGAGCTGCAAGATGAAACCTTTGTGGTTTGTTGACTGGTGGGTTTTTTATTTTATTTTAATTTAATTGTTTGAGACGGGCACAATCCCCATTTTGCGGGGTTCGGGTGAAAAACGAACCTTAATCCGGCAGCCCATTTTATGAGGGTGGGACAGCCAGGTGTTGGCTTCAATGTTGACCAGGGGTGTCGAGCTCGATTTCGTTGAGGGCTGCCTATCAAGATGGTGTTTGATCTCAGGGGTGGGTGGGCGTGGCCAGGGTGGGCGTGGCCAACTCAACGTCACTCGTCGTGGCTCCGTTTTCGACCACGACGGCCCGCAGCCCTCTGCCAGCAAAAATGGAGCATGCAACCTCCCCGGGAGTCCATTTTTGCTGGCAAAAGCACTGCCGGCCAGTCCTTTGCTGTTTCCAAGGTGGCCCTGCAGGCCAGATCTAAGCATCCTCCAGGCCTTGAGTTGGACACCCCCGATGTTGACGATTGACCCGTTTCTAGGCTCAGCTAAATTTGGGGGGAATTGAAGGAAACCTCCAGGAACCCGGTGCCAATTCTTCCCATGTTGTCGCCAACAAAACCACATAGAGAAGTCCATACACATTCCTACAAGCCACCTTCGTTCTTGACACCCGAATGACAGCAGATCCCTGGCCTCTTGGCAGGAGGAGGCTTGCAAATTTCGGACAGCGCTGACCGTCCTAAGCTCAAAAGGTTATTTCAAACCAGCTGTCAGGATTTCGGCAGTTACCCCCAATTAAATCATCAGTCTCCAGCCAGACTTCCAAAACTTCCAAAGGATTTATTGGGAGTTAACATGTCCGGCACTGCCTGGGTGCAGTCGACTCTGAGACACATCATTCATGGTCACCCTTGACCCTGGTTTTCCGCCCACCTCCTGGGTGTATCATAATTCATATCCTCCAATGGGACACATCCATAGCCCAGAGTCATCAATCATGCTCTCCAGTTAGATATTTGCGGGGCAGAAACTTCAGTCACCTAGTTACTATCTTTGAAAAACTATGTACGGAATGCACTTTCGCTTTCCAAGCTGCCGCACTGCTCTTCCAAACCCCTCCCCCCCCCCCCCCCCCTTTCTGTTGGCCACTCTAAAAAGACCGTAGAAATATTTTATGAGTTGACACCAGCTTTGGATTTAGAACGGTTGCTTTTAGGAGTCGCAGCCCCAGAAATTCTGCAGAGCCCGGCGGCTGTTTGGCCCTCGAAGGCTCCGAAGCACCCAAAAGAGAGACGGAAATGGATGCAAAAGAGGCCAGCTTTGGCCACTTCTGCAAAAGGGGCAGCGGAAAGAAGCCACAACCGAAACGCAGAACGTAGCCCTCAGTTGCCCGGGAAAGATCTTGGCGCTGAGAACGGGCACCATTTTCTGCCTTTCGGTCGCCATGGTCAGCAGACCTTCCCACTTGGCAGGAGATTATATGTGAGGGGGCTCTTCTCCCTTCACGCAGAGGCGAAGGGCATTTCTCCTTCGCGGTAGCCCCGGGTTGCCTGTGTGTAAGCAGTTAGTAGCAACTTGAAGTTAGCGATCTACGCAGGCGGCGGAAGTGGCCCCCTACGAAGCAACCGGGGCCACTGGCCATGCCCAAATCTTGCCGGTCTCCTGGCCCTTGTCCAGATGGAGAGGTGCCATTCTGCATCGTTAAAAATAGAGGGATGAGGTGGACCTGGAATGGATTCGCGCTTGCGTTAAGAAAGGAGCCCAACGTTGCCACAAGCTCACCAAAGATTCACTCGGCCTCGGTTTTCTCGTCTGCGTTATGGGGTTAATTTAAAAAGGCGTTGTCTTTTCTGCTCCTGCCACTGTCGGGGGTCCTTCCAGAGGGAATCTGTCCCATGTTTTTTTTTAAAAAAGGAGAAAGGTATTTTTTTTTTTTAATCAGGTGCCTGGAAGGTTTAAAAAGAGCTGCGTCGCTCACAGTCTCCTCTTCAGACACGAAAGCATTTCACACTGAGAATAGCGTGGTTATTAAACAAGAGAACCGAACCCCCACAAAGGCCGTCACACTCCCCAAGGGCTGATTTTAGAGGGAACGGGGACGGGGTGATGGGCCAGGAAGCCTTTTGGTGACACCCAAGTCCCCTCTTTTTTCCTGCCTCTCCCACCTTTCACAGGTACCCGCTGAGGGTGTCCAGCTACAACTACTTCCAAGCCATGAGGTTTGCAGTGGAAGAGATCAATAACTCCACCAGCCTCTTGGCCAGGGTCCTGTTGGGCTACGAAATGATGGACATCCGCTACCTCACCAACGCTGTCCACCCCATCCTGTATTTCCTCGCCGACAACCGCTCGCCGATCGAAATTGGCAGGAATTGCGCTTCGTACCATCCCACGGTCGTTGCCATCATCGGTCCGGATTCATCCCCAGCGGCCATCGTGGCGGCTTATAATTCTGAGTCCCCTTCTGATCCCACAGGTGAGCTGCGTGGATTCTCTCCGGGGAAAAGCAGGCGGGGAGAAGCCTGCCAGGTGTTTTTAACAGGATAAAATAATCACTGTGTCACATTAATCCCCAAATGAAAATTGGAAGCACAATATGGCACAAATTAAGTGGCTTAAGCTAACAGGCTAATAACGTAAAAACTGGAAAGGGAAGAGGAAGGAAGGAAGGAAGGAAGGAAGGAAGGAAGGAAGGAAGGAAGG